TACACATAACTGCAACTTATCTATAGAATTTCAGTTTAGGGTTGTCTCACATATTAAGATAACTGAACCATGATAATATAGTGTTCTGATTACATGTTCTGTACATGTTAGTTGATAAAAATAGGACTCTGAATCCATTGGCAGCTCTTTGATGGTAAGATGACACTGTCACAAGCAGAAATGTAATTGTGAGTGAGCAAATTTAGTAGCCTCGTGTTAATGCTCTCCATGAGTAAATTTCACTCATTTAAAATATAAAAAACCCCTACAACATTCCATACATTCTCCAAAAAATTAGTACAGGTTAACCTTCACCTCGCTAACCTCCAGATGTGTTAAACTGAAACTCCAGTTACACACCCATCATGATCTTTCTGCCTTTCAAAAAGATTCACACCCACTTGCAGCAGACTGACGCAGTACTATGAGTCTTTGACTGTCTTCACTTTTAAAGCAAAAATGATAACAGTATCCAGAAAACCTCCAAAAAGAGATCCAACAGATTCCAGTGAGTCACATCCACATTTTAAATCAAATTCATAGGGCTTGTCTATTCCAGTGAGTCACATCCACATTTTAAATTAAATTCATAGGGCTTGCTTACCTTGGTTTTCTGTTATTAGAAACAACTGGTGAATTGTGCATTTTTGAGCAAACACCCATCTTTCTGTGCTTGTTGTGCATGTGCCTTGCACCTAAAATAGCAAAGATTTCTGTACAAATGATGAAACTGCTGAGGAAAAAAAAGGTGGTCTGTGTCTCTGATTTGAACTGGACATAAGAGGGCTTGGAGAGTCTACAACAAGGTCTCTTGTTCCAATACACACCAAACTGCCAAGAAGGAATCTGGTGGTTCCGTCCTCCAGGTATTCATTCCATCCCTTTTCTGAGGCTCTCTGCAGACTTCTGAGTCAACCACACTTGCTGGAGTGCACATAGACAAGATAAGGTCTCAAACGCTGGCCACCAGTTGACATCAGGCGTGCTTATTTCAGGAAGTACAGTCAAGAAGAGCCTCATACTTTCTGGGAGGTTTTTAAAACAGGTTTTAAAAGTATGAAAAACCTACTGTCCACCTCACAAAGGTAAGTCAGGTAAGCATCAACCACCCCTTGAAAATAGGACCAAAGTGCTCCTATTCCCTGAAAAAAACAACTTTTACAAGGGGGTAAGAGCTCCACAGAAATATGAAGTGATTAAGGGCCCATTCTCATCGTCACAGGAAAGGATAAGAAGTAGCAACTTTTTTCCCTTGACTTGGAAGAAGGCAAGATATTTACTTAACTACAAGTGATTCTGATGCTACCAGCCTGATATTTTTCTTGCCATGGCAAGATGGCTTACATTTATGAATACGAGGGTTTATGAAAGTTACACAGAACGACATAGCTGTGGCTTTGTTTCATGGCCTTTTAAAAACCTGACATGAAGGAGCAATTCTTTGCATTTAAATAATCAGCTACCCTTTTGTACCAGCTTTCTATGTGCAGGTAAAGTGAAAAGACACTTGTTTAGACTGTCCTGAGCCATTTTGTCTGAATTGCAAGAACCCTGATTTTTTTTATAAGGGTGGGGGAAAAGCAATTTTTACTCTCACTCTCACACTGAAGACAAGTCATGACGTGAGCCCTTTAAAAAATTGTAATTTTGAGATAGCCTAAATTGACGAATACAAGGAATTTGACAAGTATTATTGCCATGCATCCATTTGATTTGTA